TCCTTAAAGTTAACGTTTAATCGACGCTAAAAGCACCTCGATTTCACGCCAAACTCCGGTTAAATCTATGCTATACCTATGCTTGTACGCGCGTGTGACATGCGTAATGTTCCTTGTATCGCTGATGAATCCCGCGACATAATTTCGCTACCCCGTAATTGAGCGCCCGTAGCGTTGAGCACTGCTTCCTCTTCCTCATCGAAGAATCAATTATCGAGCTACTTGTGTATGTGCTTCCTTCCCTCGACGCCTCGATGGCTTTTCGTTCGAGAAGAAGAAAAGAAGAAAAAGAAAGGAAATTAAATGTTTAATTTCGCGGCGTGAAAACGTCGTCGTGCAGACCGTGCGATCTAATAGCCTAATAACATGCAAATCGTTAACATGCGTTCGTTCGAGTCCGCGTCGAAGTTCTCTCGTTCAATCAAAATGCGAGACAGCGTGATCGAGTGCCACCGAGTGTAAACCTCGTAAATTTCCCTTCTCCTCTTGGCCATTCCTCTCCAAAGAGACCTCGCGTTACAAACCCTTTGTACACACGTTTCTTATTGCACGTTTCTCACGTTGCGTTGCATCCTGGTTTCCCCCTTATCCTATAATTCTCCTCTGAGCGAAAGCTACGCTGGTCGGTTGCGCTTGTTCCGGGCGCCTGCACCACTGATTTACGAAGCGAACCTACGTTCTTCCCATTTCGAAATTCGTCTCTTGAAATTCGTTCCAAACGAATACGCTTTACAAAGACATGCGCTCTTCGGAGACTCCTCACTTGTTAATTATCGTGATTTCAGAAGCCTGCGATTAACAGGGGGCGGAGGGAAATAATTGCATCGCCGCCGGTAACGCGCCGTTTTCGACGAGGATTCGACGAGACTCGCAGCGAATTTTCCCGCGAAAACGACACCGCCGACGCACACCGCGTTTTAATTAAACGCGTCTTAGCCCGGAAATATTCCGCGATATCATCAGACATTCCATTTTGCGACGCCGTCTCATCGGTATTCGAAGAAAGCCGCTTCTTTTAATCATTACCGACATTCCACGACGGTGCGGCAAGATTCGCGCGGTCACAGGGAATCATTAAGCCCGTCTAATTGTTCGTCTTAAGCACTCGCTGCACCAGCCGCTAACACGAGTCGATTAACACATTGCGTATCGCACTCGGCGCGCCCAACCTGCTCCCTCTCATTTTTGGAGCAACAGGGAAACTTTGTACAATGCATACATGCACTTCTTTAATTCACATTGATATAAATATATTCTGAATTATTACTATATAGTTTTTATATTTTTTTAATTTACTATATAGTTTTGTTAGTTTTTTAATTTTAGTTTTTTATAGTAATATTTAAGAATTTATTTATTATGTATTTTAGATTTTAACCATTATTTATTTTATATTTATATTAACACGTTGAGAACGGTATGCTCTGATAAACATATAGCCTGCATTTTCTCGTATTTTTTGAATTATTTAATATATGATTGAAAGGGTTCAAAAGAATGTATAACATTTAACAAGCGTGTTATTTTATTAATAATTAAAATTATTAATTATTTTTCATTTTAGAAGTATTTTATTAAATAAAGTGAAAATATCTCTAGTAACGTTTCTTGGTGTGGTATGTTAGGAAATAATTTCCCTAGTTCTTGAAAAATTATATAACATTTTAATATATAATTATATATTATATATAACATTATATGATATAAATTATATTATATATAGTATTATATGATATAAATTATATATAAAGTTGCCTGGATCGTGTTCCCTACAACGCAAAACAGTGTTCTCCGTCCGTGACGTTGAAACACGAAAAACGGAAATTCTTGTCTCCCATCCGCAACAGTTGAAAACTTTTATTACTCAATCGTCGTCGGCGGCGATCTCCGTTCTCCTTCGCGACGAATGAATTTCGCGATTCCTGCACTCTTCGAGTCCTCTTCGATACCGTGGAACAACGCTCGCACGCTCTTAGGAACGATGACAGCTGCGATCGCGAGCGTAACGTCAAAACAACGACTCGAATCTTCCGCTGTGCCGACGGGTAACCAGCCAGGCAATCAGCCCGGTCGTCGCCGCTAATGAAGTTTCCCTCGACGAGGAAATATCGAGAAACGAATTAAGGGGTTACGAGGACTCGCAGCTGCTGTACCCGATCGACTCACGGGCCGAATGAATGCGAAACACGAATCGATTAACGATTCGTTAAGAGGTTCCGCTCGATCGAGGAAGAAGAAGGGCAAACTGTGCGGCCACGTTGAAATTCCTTCCTTCGGGCTTGCCTCGAAATCTAGATCTCGCAGAGATCCGACGTTTCGGGAGATCGGTTGCGATACAATTTCCGGCTGGGAGTCCCGCGCCGGTCGACAGGTTACGCGCATCTTCCCTGGTGTTATTTCATTCAGCCAACCGGCGAGCGGACTTGTTGGTCTGGCTCTCGGAGATGGTCGTAATTGAATTATCTGCCTGGTAGATTGCAACTAGCGGCGTGTCGTGCGGGCGATTCTTCTTTCGACCGCCGTTCAGTTTGTTCCCCAGTTTCGTTGCGGTTTGCCCGTTGGTTTCCTTTGTTTTCGAGAAGATTCTCTAGAACTAGGTGAGCGCAGCGTCTGGGCCGGCTCCTCAAAGCACGCGGATTGCCCGCGGCTTATTTTTTACCAGCTTTCTCGTCGGAATCGCTTAGGAATTTTAATTATGCGGCTAATTAGAGATAACGTCGGATAACGGTTAATCGGTGAACAAAAAA